ACGTCGGGCTCCCTGCATGGAGCCTGCTTCTCCCTCTGCCTGTGTCTCTGCCTCTCTCTCTCTGTGCGTCTCTCATGAATAAATAAATAAAATCTTAAAAAAATAAATAAATAAAATCATCATACAGGTCTATGTGTAATGAGTTTAATCAAATTTTTAAGAAACAACCCACATCTCAAGTAACGGTAACATTTAAAAGTAAAACTAAAAATGAAATACTACTCTGAACCAGAGGGTATCTGTTTTTTGACAACTAATTATAAGGAACAAGTTCAAATCAAACTTAAAAATATATTATTAACCATCAACTGAACCACTGGAAAGATATATACCAACAGTAAGAAACTGGTACTGCCATTAACCATAAGAATGGCTTGAGACATCTTATTCACACTAAATTTAATGTATACAATTAAAGCCACCACATCAACTGTCCTTATTAATCACTCACCAATTAAGGTAAACCATCTTGTCAGAAAGCTTGCCTCTTTCCTATTTCTTAACATTATCGACTTTTAATAGTTCACCAAAATAGTAATTACTTGTTTATGGCATTATCAAATGTCTAAGCCTAGCATGTGGCAAGGTCAGTTATAGACATACCCTGATGGCATGTGAGAGGAGAAATTTAACCCACCAAAGTGGTCATCGAAAGAGCAAAACCTATTATCCCTTTCTCTAGATACTCCTGGTTAAATTTAAAGTGACAGGACAAACTAGATCAAAACTAAACAGAGCTAGAAGCAACATACAAAATCCTAATGAACCCTTAGAAATCTAGGTATCGATTTGTCAATATCTAAGCTCAATTAGTCCTTTCAGAACAAAATACCTCATGAAGCAACAAGAAACTAGTTTGAGATCTGGGATATGAAAAGAATAAAAGCAGTCACTTTACATTGCTAAGTGCAGTCATATCTCAACCTGGAGATCTTGTGGGGATTAAATAAAGATGTATGTCAAGTACCTATCTACTAAGCCAAGGAGCTGGCACAGAACTAGGGTTCAATAAATGTTAGTCCTTCCTCAAATCTTTAAGAATGCAGGCTTATCAAGTCAAAGATCCACTGGCGGTGTAAAAAAGCAAATTGAAACAAAAGAAAATCTTTACATGCTGATATGGACAACAGATCTTATAGAACTCAGCAAACAGGATAATGAAAATGAAAAATAGATCCTGAAAACATTTCTCAATGGCTCATCCTTTGTGGTCATTTACAATGTTCCTGTTTTGTGAAATTGTCTTTAGGGATGAGCTTTGACAAGAAATAGGCCAAATGCAAGCTAATTCCACTTGAGAGGGAAACTCAGAAATCCCTCCAGCAGGTAAACAGTTTCTCTCATAAAATCTTTCCACTGGGTATACTTCAAGCTTTCAATAATTCCAGTTTCCAAACAAACTAGTAGCACAACCATAAAGCTAATTTTTTCTTTTCTTTTTTTAATACTTTGTTTATTTTTTCATGAGAGACACACAGAGAGAGGTAGAGACACAGGCAGAGGGAGAAGCAGGCTCCATGCAGGGAGCCCGATGTGGGGCTCGATCCCAGGACTCCAGGATCACACCCTGGGCCGAAGGCAGGCGCTAAACCGCTGAGCCACCCCAGCGCCCAAGCTAATTTTTTCATTAGAATTGTTAAGTAACAGGAGCTCAATAAATAATTTGCCTTCTAAGGAAAAATAAAATGACTTTCTAACACAAATAATATTTCTTCCAGTTCTAAGAAAAGGAAGGTTATTTACAAATTGAAAGGTGTATACCATAGTGAAGTCTTTTTATGGCTTAAGAATGAAATATTTAAGAAATAAAGGTACGGAAAGAACAGGACTTGGTCTAAAGCGTCTTGAGATGCCATTTACTATTTGGCTTCCAGGAAGTTACTAAACTTCTCAGGGACTCAGTTTCCTGTAAGGTTCTTTTCAGCTCAAAAATGATAGGATTACTTATGATATCTGATACTCTTTAGTGCCTCTCTATGTATACATATATATGCACACATGTACATACACATACATATGTGCCTTTATTAAATAATACAGATACATTTTCAAAGTTGTAGTAATTTAAGGCCCATTATGAAACAAATGGAAAGAGAGAGAGGGAGAATGTGTGCGTGTATGTTCAGTATTCTGACCCCGAACATCATTCTCAGTAGTTAGGGCATTTACACAGCCTGAATTAACCAAGTAAGCCTTTAAACCCTTACAATGAAACATTAAAATTCAATGTGGCTATAATCTCTTCCTTACAAAACATGGACCCAAAGAGTCTGGCTTCAAGTACAGTTTAAAAAAAAAAAGGCAAAGTGTATTATATTCACCACTCAGCTTTTCCATATGACCACATTAAAAAAAAAAAAAAAAACCACACACACACAAATGAAAACTCACAGGCCCATTGTAATACATTGTACCGCTTCTGAATGCAACACTTAGCTCAGGCTTACTACCCTGACAAATAAAGAAAAGCACTTTATGAAGCCAATTTAATTGGGAGGTGACAGAAAACATACTGCCATTTTCTTTAGCCTTATCATTGAATTGGCTTCAGCTCCAATCTCGGGCAAATCCCACTCAACAGAAGAAATTAACCAGGTCAGCAGAACAGGTGCTGTGCTGTGTCTGTCAAGGGCCTGGCATCACCACAATTACTTGCACACAATGAAGCAGTAATCTTTACAGATCATCTCTCCCAAGAAGTATATAGGGGAGGGAGAGGAAAACTGAAGGGAGGCGGGGGGAAAGTGGGAAGAAGAAGAGGAATAGGAGGCCAAGAGAAAAGGCAAGGAAAGAAAATGAATGTGCAGCTGCCTCGCGGCTCAGCAGATGTCGGGATGTGATGTACGAGGCTAGGATAAGCTGTCGTAGCCCGCTGCCAGAGTGGTAAGTGATTAAAGCCTGCACAGTTCTAAGCACCATATTTAGAATCTGCGGGGTTTCAAGACTTGCACCCATTCCTTGCTGTGCTGCCAGATGTTGGCAACTGGTCCAGTTCCTACTGACTGTGTGTGGATGGCAGCAGTTGGTACAGCAGCAAAGCAATCTGGAATGCTTCCGGAGATGCTGTACATTAACAAGTGTCACCCATCATTCACCTTTACAGAAGGCTGAAACAACTCCAATTTGCTGCCACTTCCCTCTTGGGAAACAGCCAAGATAAAGTTGCGCCTGGCAGCCCCATTTGTTTCACTCAGGTGTTTCAGCTGCCTTGCTGACCTCTATTAGTTTAAGTTTTAATTTAGATTAACCCCAGCACCCCAATTAACCAGCAAGGGGAAAAGCTAAGATGTGACTAGTCATAACTCTGAAATAAGAATTTATCGAAGGTAAAATTATTAATTGGGATGAAGGGCCAATCAAGTAATGCTATTTCTTTTTAAACAGACCTCCAGGCAAAAAAATAAAATAAAAAAATAGAAATCTTTCAGACTAAGGATTGCCAGTGGAAGCAACTTCTCAGTAATTTCAGTGTATTTTATTAAGCCTATTTAATTTATGATGCACTTTCTATCGAACAATGTACACTTCAATAAATGAAGCCTGGAGCATTTTTGATTGTCTCCCATGATCTCACACAATTATACAGTATTAATATCCCATATCAGGTACTTCCTTAGACACTCTAGAACAAAATAGAGTTCCCTACTCTTCTGACAAATGGATATAATAAGAGAAGAAAAGGAAAAAAGAATCAGGACCTCTGACTAGGAACACCTGAGGACACACCAATCCTCTTTCCTATACCCTCTTATCATTACTTTTAAGGCTCACTTATGGCAATAATTTCATTGAACATTCCAGAGTGAACAGAAAGATTATTAGTCTCTTTCTCGGGGCAAAGACTCAGAGCTATCCCCTATAAACAGAATCACCTATTCTACTGGCCTCATAGTGTGATTTTTCCATGTTCCTTCCTTCATATTCCAAATACATAATACTCATGGCTAAACCTTCAATAAGCAGTTGCAAATTCCTTGGTAAAAGTTAATACACTAAAAATTCAGCAGAGAAAAGAGTATCTTGATAAATAATGGCTCAACAAAAGCTGTTGTGTCACTGCTGAACAGCACCCTTGATTCTCCAGAGCTAGAAAGGGTACATCCTAAAGCACATTTCATTAAGTATGACTTATCAGGAGACCTAGGATTACAGGAAATTATTTTAGTTCTTTAGAACAGCCCAAATGTTTAGTCTATTTTTACAGTCACTAGCATCATTAAAAAGAGCAGCATGCCAACAGATAATTACATTAGAGAAAGAATTGGGGGACATTTGGGAAGAGATACTAAGAACTGGGCCATATTTCAACTGTTACCAATTCTTTCTGTCTTCAAAACACTACACTATTATTATAATCAACAGCAGAAGACAATCTCAATACATACTTAACTGATTTGAACAGGCATGTGCGTGCACACACACACACACACACATCAAAGACCAGGGACTTAATAGGCAATAGAACCAGAAGTGCAATTCAAGGACTCAGGGATCCCAGACCTTTAGCTCCATATCCTAATCCAATAGCAATGGTACAAGAAACCAAAAACTAACAAAAAGTCCTCTATTAACATTATCAAAAATGGCTGAGAAAGAATAAACCACCTGACTCGAAGAAGTTGCAGCTGTTTTACAAATCCTTTACACCCTGCGGCAACTAACAGAGTAGTTGTAGTCATTTTCACTTCAAAAGGAAAAACACAAGATAGAAGCAGAACTGGGGTGTCTGTGGAGCATAATGAGACTCTTGAGCTTCTAGGCTGTGAATTTGAGCCCCACACAGGATATAGAGATTTCTTTTAAAAAGTAAACTCTTAAAAAGAAAAAAGAACAACAAACTTAGAACTACACAGTAAGTCAATTCAAAAGACAGCAGTTCTAACTCCCCGACTCTATCTTCCTTCCAAAGTAAAGCCACCTTTTGGTCAGAGAATTCCATGAGTTATTTTAAAATGCTAAAATATGATCTGTAATAAAAGAAAAGAGTGTAAAAATCACACCTGGTGATAAAAGTCATCATCATCAAAGATTTCACCATCCAAGTCCTTCAGGTGGGCATTGGCAGGGGCCTGAGGAAGCATTTCCTATATTAAAGAGAAAAAAGAAAGGAGTGAATCCAAAGGAATTATCAAAGTAATGTAGCTACTACAAATAATGTGTGTAACAGTCAAAGCAGTTTTCCTTAAGATATAAAGAGCTCTTAAAATTAAAGAACAAAAACATTCCAATAAAAGCAGACAAAAACATTAACTAGGCACTTACCTGGAAAAGAACCACAAATCGTCAATAATCATATAAAATGTTTAATTTCATTCTAATTAAATATATGAAAATTAAAATGAGAAGACACCATTTTTCACCTCTAAAACTGACAACACTCAGTACAAGAAAACACAGCTGGTGAAAATGGAAATGAATGCAACTTTTTGGAGGCAATCTGTAACATCCATCAGGATTTAAAATGTGTATTCTCTTTGTGTGTGTTTTTTAAAGATTGTATTTATTTATTCATGAGAGATACAGAGAGAGAGAGAGAGAGAAGCAGAGACACAGGTAGAGGAAGAAGCAGGCTCCATGCAGGGAGCCCAATGTGGGACTCAATACCAGGACTCCAGGATCACACCCTGAGCCGAAGGCAGACGCCTAAGTGCTGAGCCACCCAGGCATCCCTATTCTCTTTGATTTGACATTTCTACTTTGAGAAATCTACCTGTATGTTCACACAAATACACATATTACAAATACTCATGTTTCCTATAGCACTGTTTCTAAAGCTAAAGACAACATAAATATCCACTGTTTGAATAAATTATAGTACACACCCACATAATGGAATACCCTGTAGCCTAATATTAGGAAGAATGAGATAAATCTCTATGTAATGATTTGGAAGTGTCTAGGAAAAATTAAATTTAAAACATTGTCAGATTTTATATAGAGTTGATAAAATTTTATATATTTATAAATACACATATCCATCCCATTTAGTTAAAATAGAATCATGTTTTTTATATGTATATGTGTTATATGTATATACAGTTACATGAATAGAAAATACCTTTTTACAATTATGAACATTGGTTCAATTGGAGAAGCAAAATTTTACTTTTCATTTTAAATTCTTCTGAACTTTGAAAAAAATTAAGTACATATTTCCATAAATAAAAGTTTCCTTGAAACAAAAGAACTTGTTCCAATTATGGATCATTTTCTGTAGTATCTAATGTCCAACATAAAACCTAAAGTACACACTTCCTTCCATACCAACATTTCTAGAGAAACATCTTTAAAATTGAATTTTAAAAATTGGATTATGAATGCTTCCATTATCAGATACAAAGCAAATTCAAAAATAAGAGACTCCATACAAGTTAATAATAGCTCCATTTTAAAAGAATATTTTCTCCCATAAACTCTTAGTTTCTCAACAATCTAGTAAAGTAGTGCTTTTTCTCTTTCTTTCACTGACTTCTTAGACCAAGAATAATATCTACAAGCAGGTGATCAGATCTTTTAGCAAATGAGCCTCACAGAAACTGCTCCTTGTAATCACCTAGCATCACAGAGCTCTTACCGGTTGTCCTGGCAAACTCTCCGGGAGAGGCTGCATTGCTGGTTCAGGTTTGCCAAGAACTCGGTAGACAGAGCGCTTGGTCTGCGTCCTTCGAAGTAATCTTTCTTTGTCCATCAGAATATGATCGATCTGAGTCAAGATTGAGCGTTCAAAGGCACCAAAACCCTGCAACAACATTAACCAGTGTCAGATAATGCAGAGCGTCCGTGCTAAAGGCAGCTACATTGGTTTCTCTATCTTTCTGTGTCAGCAGAGAGACAGACAATCCTCCTTTCAGAAGGGACTTCGTGTTGCAGATGGAGTTTGTGAATGGCTATAAATGTTCTCGGGGGAAAAAAAAAATCAGTCTTAAGCAGGTCGTATTACTTTCCTATATCTGGAGATTAACTTCCACACCTTTCCTAACAGTTGAAAAATCCATTTCTTTAAGTATTTTGTATTTCCAAACATTTGAACACTTACAAGGCCACAATTTCTAGAACAAAATATCTTTTTTAAAAAAAGATTTTGTTTATTTATATATTTGAGAGAGTGCGCACATGCATGTGTGAACAGAGGGAGGGGCAGAAGGAGAGAGAGCAAATCCCAAGCAGATTCTGTGCTGAGCATGGAGCCTGACATGGGGCTCAATCTCACCACCCTGAGATCATAACCTGAGCTGAAATCAAGAGTTGGAGGCTTACCCAACCAAGCCACTCAGGTGCCCCCAAAATATTCTAATAAAATTAAAATCCCAGGTCTGAATGGAGTTCTGTAAAGTTTTCTGTAGAAATGACTACTATTATATCATAACAATATCCGTTATCAATGAGCTGTAGTTCTAATTTCTTAAAACTGCTTCAGGTGGCGACAACTCTGTTACACACATGTAGAGACACACACACACACTTGCCTTCCCCAGTTTTCCAGAGGCCAGCTTAGTTCTATCATGCCACTTCTGAAGTATACGGTTCCTGTAGACTGTAAAATCAGCAAAACGCTTTGCCATGAAGCTAGGATAGTCCTCCATTTCCAGCTTCCTCTTTGGTGGGGCCCTTCTCTGCTGCTTCTTCTCTCCTACTAGCTCTTCATCTTCACTGGAAATTTCCTCCTCACTAAAGTTCAGTAAGAATATTAAGTTCAATATAAACAAACATTACCCAAATAAAAAGCTAGGCTCACATGAAGTTGAGAGTATTTAGGCCTTCCCTATTCTATCTACATTTTTATAAAACACCATAAATTTGAGGGGGGCTTTTTTTGTTTGAAAGGAATGTTCATGAGGTCAATCAAAAAGTCATGTAACTTTTCAAATAAATATAAAAACTACTGGCTTAGAAATATTTTTTTAAAAGGTAAGCAAACCATAAAAATAAACGAGGTTGTAAAAACATTATTAGAAATGCATATGAACCAGGCCTATCCTGTTACAAGAGATGGTCTTTAAAAATTAAACACATAATCATACTTTTATGACCTTAATCCCCAAATCAATAAGGGAAATGGGTCTCCCTGTAACCGATTGTTCAGGAAAGCTGAATAATATTAGCTGAATCAAAGGAAGAGAGCTAAAAGTGAAGAAAGCTCAAAAAGGTGGACAACGAAATGGGAACTACATTGCAATAAATGCAACTACCTGGAGAGAGTAAGTAATACAATCTCTAACTATCAAGCCACTTGCACACCCTGGACTACCGACCCCAACACATTATAGGTGCTCAATAAACATGAGCTTACTTGTCCCTCCAACTAATTCAGCAGAAAAGAAATGGAGCAAAGGATAAGCCCAAAGGAAAAAAAGCAAGCAGGTTCCATATACATACAGCAGGTTTAAACAATAGGTGGTGGTGTGGTGGGTGTGGAAATCCTTCATCAAATGTGACAATTTCAGAAAAGAAAACAGGTTATTTTGTGCTTTTCTAAAAATTTTCCACCTGTAAAATAAGTGCTTCCTCCCTTACTGAAAAGGAGATGCCTGTGACCAGCAATTCCATGGTATTGGCAGGAAGTGCTTCATAAACATTAATCAAGAATTAAAATAAAAAATGTCCTTTCATTGCCTAATTTCTTTTTTTAAAAAAGACTGACTGATTAACTGATTGAGGCAAGAAGGAGGGACAGAGGCAGGGAGAGAGAGAGAGAGACTCAAGCCAATTCTACACTGAGTGCAGAGCCCATCACGGGGTTCGATCTTACCACCCTGAGATCACGACCTGAGCTAAAACCAGGAGTCGGACACTCAAAAGACTACCGCCACTCAGGCGCCCTTCATCTCCTCATTTCAACAGGTCTAAAGAGAAGGCAAGCCTTTTCCGAAGTCCACAAAGGAAAGCACAAGTAAATATAAAAATGGAAAACCTAATTCCTAATTTCTGTGCGATCTCAGCCACCAGTTAAATGCAAGAGGGTCTTTCTGTTTTATTAATAGTAAGTCTATTATCTTCTTGCAGAGGATTTGGCTTTCTTTTTCAAAAATGATAGTAAACCGCTCAGATTAAAATAAGCAACCCCAGAGTTCCATTCCTTCCTTACCTTTCTGCTTTGGGCTTTGTCCCATCTACTAAGTATCTAGTATCTGGGTACTGGAAAAGTAACTCTTCCTGAAGATCTGCCAATGACCTCAACAATGATTTCAGAGCCTTGTGACCTGGGAAATAAAGCACAGAGAAGGAACAATTAATTATCTACAGTTCTCCAAAGTAGGCAATGCCTATAACTCATGACTCCTGAGCAGTTCTGGCCGGGGTGGGGGGAAGGCAAAGGGTACCCAGGGACTAAGAACTCTCTGAAATACAGAATTCCTGAAAGGAAGTAGTAACAGGTGCCTACTTCACAGGCTTATTGTGAGGAACAAGTGAGGTAACATATGTATGGTGTGTAGGAAATGATCTACAATAAATGTGAGTTCTTAAATTTAGTAAGATTGACAAACTCCTTCCCTGCTTGTCATCATAACTAATCATTTTTCCCTATGGTGTTAGTTTCTACAGGTAACCCACCGACCTCCTGGATTATCCCTCTATCAATCAACTCCTTAAGCAATTCCTCCTCTTCTAAAGAGCACAACTTTGTCCTGGGATCCCTACTACCGCCACCGCCACTGCGACCACCACCCTCCCTCAGGAGATCTCATTTGCTCTGGTTTGAGCTGCCACCTCACACATCCAATCTCTCTGCACATATTCCTATGAAAAGTTCCTGTTTACGTATGGAAACTCAAGTTAATGACTTCCTGTTTACAGTGCTGCATGTTGTATTAAAATTTTGCACGTCAAAACATGTTATTAACCTGGTTCTCCTCACAGCCAACAGGATGCATTTGTAATAAAGCTGGTCAGGATTAAGTATACAGTCCACGGCTAAGAACTTTCAGGATAAAAATTGGCCCTCTGAGAACTGAACTCTTACCTTCTTTATCAGCCTAATCCTACTAAAGGGGCTAACTAGACACTGATAATCACTATTTATGTGTTGGTAGCACTCAGACTTCTCTCCTTTTATTGAGCTTCCACATTTCCAGCAACTGCAGGAAAATCTTCACATGGATGCTCCATCACTCCTCCAAATATACCACATCAGAAACAGAACTTTGTTCTTCCTACCTAATATTACTCTCTTGTCTGATTTTCTCGTTTAATGTGTTTTCATAGGCAATCATTGACATTTTGGTGCCCTTATTGTATATATTTAATCCACTGCTAAATTGTGTGATACTCCATTCTATTGTCAGTAATAGCTGTCCATTCACCTCTGGCCAGGCTTCTCTCACACCTTCCCTCTTTCCCTTAAATACTGTAACCCTCTCACAAGTGCCCCTAATTTCATTTAGCAATCCCTGCATTCATTGTTACTTTATATTCCATAGGGACTTCAGCCCACACAAAGTTAACCATGGTTTTTAATGCCTTTTCTACAAAAGGTTACACCTTAAGAGACAGAGCCTATGTTTTCCACAGTGAAACCACAAACCAATTTTGCATTTGCAAAGTGGTTTTCAAAATTCCCAAGACCTAACCTTGAAAATCTTATGCTAAGTGAAATAAGCCAGTTGCAAAAGCACAAGTACTATGTGATTCCACTTAGACGAGGCCTAGAACAGTCAAACTCATAGAAGCAGAAAGCAGAATGGTGGCAGCCAGGAGTGCAGGGGAAAGGGAAACAGACACTTATTCCTATTCAATGGATACAGAGTTTCAGATTGAGATGATGAAAAAGTTCTGGAGATGGATGGTGGGGATGTTGGATAGCCATGCAAATGTACTTAATGATACTGAACTATATGCTTATAAATGGTTAAGCTAGTAAATCTTATGTCATGTATATTTTAGCACAATTGAAAAGAGAAAAAACCTTAAGAGTTCCCAAGACCAGGGCATAATAAATAATTCTTCCATCCTAGTGCATCTCTGTACAGAAAAAAAATCATCTATAATCCTTCAATCTTGAGCCTTGTCAAAAAGAACAGGGAAAAAACAATGGAATATTATTCAGCCTTTAAAAAGAAAGAAATTGGGACGCCTGGGTGGCTCAGCAGTTTAGCGCCTACCTTCCGCCCAGAATGTGATCCTGGAGACCTGGGATTGAGTCCCACATCGGGCTCCCTGCAGGGAGCCTGCTTTTCCCTCTGCCTGTGTCCCTGTCTCTCTCTCTCTCTCTGTGTCTCTCATGAATAAATAAAAACCTTAAAAATAATAAAATAAAATAAATAAAATAAAATAAAATAAAATAAAATAAAATAAAATAAAATAAAATAAAATAAAATAAATTCTGACATGTGCTACAACACACGGATGAACCCTGAGGACATTATGTTAAGTGCAATAAACCAGCTGTAAAAAGACAGGGACTTATAAGAAGTACCTAGAGTAGTCAAATTCATGGAGGCAGAAAGTAGGATGGAGGTTGCCAGAGGTTGGGGGAGAGGGGAATGGAGATTTGTTTCACAGGTATAAAGTTTTAATTTTACAAGATGGAAAAGTTCTGGAGATTGGTAACACAACAATGTGAATCTACTTAATACTACTGGACTGTACACTTAGAAATGGTTAGGATAAATTGCTGAATCCCTATATTATACACCTGAAACTAATATAACACTGTATGTTAACTATACAGGAACGAAAATTAAAAATAAATTTAAAACTGAAAAAAACAAACGGTTAGGATAAATTTTATGATACATAAATTTTAGGTTATGTGTTTTTTGCCACAATAAAAAATTACGAAGAACAAGAAAAGCAGGTGCCTGTCCCTTCCTGCCTGTAGGTACCATGTGTCCATGATGTAAAACAGAAAATCAGGAACCACGGCAGGGGGGAAGCTGCAGAGTAGTCTGTAATGTTCATAGCTGCTTGCCCCCAACAAGCGAGTCATAATGTGATTCTCACATGCAGCATAACCAAGAACTGTGAAAACACCCAACGAAAAGACTACTACTTTTAAGGGCCACTTTCAAGTAGTTATACAAGCATTTTTATTTTGTTCAAGTCAGTTTTAAAAAATCCATTGCAGATATATTAGACAGCATATCAATCCAACAAGAAAGCAGAGAGCCAATATCAGTAAATCAAAGTGTGCCTTTCTGTTAATACTCTCTCATATGTTCTCATTTTATACACCCCTTCACCCAGTCAGAAAGTAGCCCTGAAGTATTTAAGCTCCATTCAGGGATAGCACTACCATGCATCAAAGTGTCAAGAGACCTACCAGAGATGAAATCTGCAATTCTGTGCTTCTAACCACAAAAGAAAAAAGAAAGAAAGAAAGAAAGAAAAGAAAGAAAGAAAGAAAGAAAGAAAGAAAGAAAGAAAGAAAGAAAGAAAGAAAGAAAGAAAGAAAGGAAGGAAGGAAGGAAGGAAAATGTTTATCAAAGGAGAGTCACCAGTGACCAACACATGGACAGCTTCCTGTAAAGAGATATAGAAGAAAGAACTGAATTCTCATTTCTTTGCAATATTAGGGTCACATTTCCCTTCCACTAAGATTCTGTGTCAAATCTAAAGAAACTAGACAATCCTTTGGCCTCCTCAAAGCCACAGCTGACAAGAGTTGAGGAAACTCTCCTGGGGACTCAAATCTAACAGGATATTCGTCCCAGTCAAAATACGAAACAAAACCCAACCCAACCCTCTTTTCATCATTCAAATAGAACCAAATTCTATTTGTTCGACTTTATGAAAAATGAAGAGAATGGAACCAATGGTTTCTAACTCATCTTTTATTTTTCTCCTAATTACTGTCAGAGTTACAAGTTAAAAAAGCAGCAGAGAGGCATATACTTTCTTCTCTCTCCCTCTTGGCACATGGCCACAAAACAAATGGAGACTGTCAAGGATATATATGTTTATTTTGCCCTACATGGTCCATTTCCAGAGGCCTTCCCCTTAAGAGGAGACTAAGGACATATGCCTCACCATATTATCAAGATACAACCTCAGCATCTGGGCACCAGCTTTAGGAATCATTTTCCAAGTACAGAATCAATGGAAAGAATGCTTTACTAAGGGTCATAAGCCCTGTATTCTGACATTATTACTAACTAGTCATTTTATACTGAGCAGACCAATTTAATCTTTGAGTTGTAATTTTCTCATCTGTAAAATGTAGATAATCCTTTGCTTGTTTATCTCACAGAATTTAGGTAAAAAATAGTAAATTTTTCTATATTAAAGCATTTCATAAATTTTTAAATGCTGTGGATACAGAAAGTATATCACTATCAAAAAACCATCATCTTTCACGTGGTGAAAGTCTCAAGTTCTGCTTGTACTGATCAACAGTGCTAGGACTGAACTAGTATTCATAGATTCCTGTATTAAGTATTCATTTACACGCTACCCATATGCAAGCATTCTATATATAAAATGTCACCAATCTAAAAACCATTTTCACCTAACAGCTTTATTTTTCTCCCTGATTCATTTTGGCTGTTCAACATAAACAAAATTGTAGGCAGAGAATAAGTTTGGACATAGACACACAGTTCATTAATTAGATTATAAACCAATAAGTACAACTTCTGGCAAGGGGATTGGAGGGGGAATGCAGACGGTGAATTTGTAACTAAAATACAGCTTACCTTATCAGTTTTTAAATATCTATACAGTTATTTTTAAAATAACCATGAAAATATACAGTAATTTATGTACAAGTATACATAAATTCCCACATTCCTATTATGCCAGATAAATACAATGAACTAGAATGTATAGATTACAAGAGCATTTTTTTTCTCCTTCAAAAGTAACTCTAGAACCAGAGCTAAACTATAGGTCAAAATGACACACGATATATTGGCCTGAGAACAATACTTTTCATTCAAATCCACACAAGCCTGCCACTTGCACTAGTCATCCCCGGCAATTAATCCCCCAAGAAAGACGTTTGATTAAATCTTTTCAAGCAAATCCTTTGCTTTGCTTTTGTTAGTTCACTTCTTGTCAACATCTATTAAAATATGCCTTTAATTCTCCCACAATCTTAAAAAACACCGATTCCACTGTCTTCAACTTTAATCAACTGTATGGCCGGCATTTTTCATTTCATAATAATGTGCTGCTTGGAATTCAAGAGGCAGGCTCAGCATCAATCATCTGGTAAGAATTTTTCCACTGCAATAAATATGCAAATGAGGAGAGCCAGTCAGTC